CTCCACCTTCGCCCTTCCTTCCTGGCTCCTCCCTCTCCTTTCCTCCTTTCTCCCTCATGCGTCTCCTGCCTCCCTCCCCTGTCCTCCGTGGCGACATTCAGGCTGAGGGCAAGCTAAAGACAATCGGAAGAGAACTGAGCTGCTGCTGCTGTGTCTGAGTGGCAAACGAGACAACCTCCTCGGAGCTCCGGGTCACTACTCCTTCAGGCGTCGGCCTCTGGGCCGCGTTCCGGCCAGATCTTCGCGGCGGACCCGCCCGTGGCCACCAAGGGGCCCCTCGAGACCCCCAGAGGCCCAGAGCGTCTAAAGGTTGCCTCCTCGCCCTCGTCCTCGTCGTCGCCCGCGCGCGTCCTGGCGCCGCCCGGGCTCGGCTCGGAGAGCGGAGAGGACCTCTTCTCGACGGACCACTGGAAGCTGAAGGCGCTCCTCGTCATGGCCTTCACCCCTCAGTTCCTGGTCGGGGGCACGAAGGCGCCCAGCCATGGCGCGCAAGAGCTGCCTCCCGCCTTGGAGGGGCCAGGCAGGCCAGGACTCGGCCGCCTGGCGCGCCGGAGCGCTCTCGGAGCGCTCGCAGAGCGGCCACGGCGTCCGACACAGGGCGCTCAGAGATCCCCGATCTGCCCGGGACCGATTTTGCCCCCATCCTGCCCTCGTCGTAGACTGGGAGGAGGCAGGGGTCGGACGGGGCCAGGACGAGGACAAGTCCGTTCCAGAGCGTTCTGGAACGCTCTCAGAGCGTCTCTGCGCGGTCTGAGAAGGCCGCGGCGCTCGATACGTCCTCCAGCGCCGCCGGATCTCAGCGATCCTCGATTTATCCCCACCCGATTTGATCCTCGTCCTCTGGCCCTCGTCTGTAAAGGGGGGAGGGGAGGGACCAGAGGTGAGGTAGGGGCAGCGCCAGGCCAGAGGCTCCCCGCGGCGGGCCTTCCTCTGGTTTGCTTGCGGGCACGGCCGGGCTGCGGCCTGCAGCTCCGCGGAGGCACCCCGCGAGAGGCACAGCGGGCGCTGGCAGCGATGTCGGCAGCGGCGGCGACGGGTAGCTATCGATCCTTCGTCTGCTGCCGTCTTCTCCCACCACGGTGCGGCGAGCAGGGGGAGGAGGAGGAGGCAGGAGGGGGAGACGCAGGGGGAGCGGGAGGCAGGGGGCAGCAGGCAGGAGGATGATGATGAGGATGATGATGAGGATGAGGAGGAAGAGGAGGAGGAGGAGGAGGAGGAGGAGGAGGAGGAGGAGGAGGAGGAGGAGTCCTCGTCCTCGTCTCGTCCTCGGTCGTCCTCGTCCTCGTCCTCGTCGTCGTCGTCGTCGTCGTCGTTTTCCTCCCCCTCCTTCTCCTTCTCCTCCTCCTCCTCATCCTGCGCCCCCTCCTCCTCTTCCTCCTCCTCCCTCCTCCTCCTCCTTCCGACCCCCTTTCCTTCTCCTCCACCTTCCCCTCCTCCTCCTCCTCCTCCTCCTCCTCGGGCTCTGGCTCTCTTCGGCTTCGGCTGCCGTATGGACGCCGAGGCATCTGGGGTTCGAATGCGTGAGCGCGTGCGCCGTCGGGAGCAGGCGTTCCCTGAGGAGTTTGAATCCTCAGAACTCGTTTGGAGTCTTGATGCGTGGAACGCTCCTCCTCGTCGTCGTCGTCCTCCTCCCCCTTCTCTGATGATGATGCTGATGATGATGATCAAAAATGAGGGCGATGATGCTGATGATGATGATGCTGATGATGACGATGATGTTGCTGCTGCTGCTGCTGCTGCTGCTGATGATGATGATGATGATGATGATGATGATGATGACGCTTGGTTCGGCGGACGTCTCAGTTCGCCCTCGAGGCGGCAATATTTTGTCTTAAACGTCTCATGAAGCACGACGCCGGACTGTGCGAGATGGAATGCGGGAGTACGTGCTTGCGGGTGCGCCCTCTACGTTTGCCGCAGAGGTTGCTGGCAACCTTTCGAGCGAAGGTGGGTAAGCATGCCAGGCTGCACGGCAGTTCCGGCAGAAGCTGGCGGTTTAACGGAAAAAGAGCGTGCGCGATCTATTAGGAACGGGGGCGATAGCAGATGGACTGGCACGCCGGTTTGATAGCGGATGGGCCGGCACGCCGATTTACAGAGCAGATTTTGACAGGCAAGGCTGCACAAGAGATCATGCGAAGAAGAGCTGTTGGGGTTCGCGCCGCCCCCCTCCTCCTTCTTCTCTTCGTCCTCCTTGTTCTCCTCCTCCTCCTCCTCTTCCTCCTTCTCCTCCTCCTCCTCCTCCTCCTCCTCCTCCTCCTCCTCCTCCTCCTCCTCCTCCTCCTTCCTCCTCCTCCTCCTCCTCATACCTCCTCCTCCCCTCCTCCTCCTCCTCCTCCTCCTCCTCCTCCTCCTCCTCCTCCTCCTCCTCCTCCTCCTCCTCCTCCTCCTCCTCCTCCTCCCCCCCGAGGTGAGGCCCGAGGAGCCGATCGCCCAGCCGGAGCAGTGGGACCCGAAGAGCTGGAAGAAGAAGCAGAAGCCGCAGAAGCCGGCCAAGAAGGACGCCCCGTCCCCGCCCCTCGGGCGAGAATCGTTGTGAAGAAGAGCTCGGGAGGCCTTCGGCCGCTGCTGGTGCCTCGTGACGCCATCGAAATTCGGATCAGAGTGCCCCCCTGGGCAGGTCCCATCTGCGTCACCATAATCAATTAATACTTGGGGACCTCCGTTGGGCTCTCAGGATTCCGTTGGGCTCCTCAGGATTCTTCAGGATATCTTCGAAGTCTTCAGGATCCCCAAGGATTTCTCAGGACACCTCAGGACTCCTCAGGACTCCCCTGGATTCCTCAGGACTCCCCAGGACCCTCCCCCTCCAAATAAATCCGATGGCTTCTTCCTCAGGATCCATAACGATTCTTCAGGATCCCCCAAGATTCCTCAGGATGCTGAAGGCCTCCTTTGGTTTCCTAAGGATTCCTCAGGATCCCCTCTGGGTGCCCCTCAGGATTCCTCCGGACTCCTTGGCATTCTTCAGGATTCCACAGGATTCATCAGGATCCCCAAGGCTTCTTCCTCTGGACTCATCAGGACTCCCAAGGATTCGTCAGGATTCTTCAGGATCCGTCAGGATTCCTCAGGATTCCTCCCGAGGCCCCAGGGTTCCTCAGGATCCCACAGGAAACCTTGGGACCCCAAAGGATTCTTCAGGATCTCCCTCGGGTTTCTCAGGATTTCGCTGGGCTCTTCAGGAACCCTCAGGACATACTAGGATTCCTCAGGTATTCTACGCTTCTTCTGGGCTCATTCGGATTCCTTTGGATTCGTCAGGATTCCTCAGGACACTTCAGGACTCCTCAGGATTCCCGAGGACTCCTCAGGATTCTCCAGGACCCCCCCCCCTCCAAACGAGTTTTATGTATTCCTCAGGATCCACGATGGTTCCTTAGGATCCCCAAGGTTCTTCAGGATGCCTGAAGACCCCGAAGGAGCCCTAAGGATTTCTCAGGATCCCCCCAGGGTGCCCTTAGGATTCCTCAGGACTCCTTCGCATTCTTCAGGATCCCCCAGGATTCCCCAGGACCCACATGGGTTCCTCAGGATCCCCTGGGCTTCCTCTGGGCTCTCATCAGGACTCCTCAGGATTCGCTAGGATTCCTTTGGACCCTTCAAGATTCCTCCGGATTCCTCCAGAGTCCCCAGGATTCCTCAGGATCCCACAGGACCCCCTGGGACCCCCAAGGGTTCTTCAGGATCTCGCCAGGGTTTCTCTCGATCCCGAGGGGTTTTTCAGGAGTTCTCAGGAAATCAATTCTTCAGGACCCCCAAGGATTCCTCAGGACACGTCCAGATTCCTCAGGACCCCCAAGGACTCCTCCAGGTTCACCAGGACCCCCCCCCCTCCAAAGAGTCCGATGGTTTCCTCATCAGGATCCACACTGATGCCTCAGGATCCTCTTCTAAGGTTCTTCAGGATGCCTGAAGGCTCCTTACGATCCCACAGGATTCCTCAGGATCCCCTCAGGACACCCTTCAACCCTTCAGGATTCCTCATGACCCCTTAGCATTCATCAGAATTGCATAGGAATCCTCAGGACACACAAGGATTCCTCAGGACCGCCGAATCGCGGCTCCCGCCTGATACTTCCTCACAATGTATTCAGATGCCGCTCCTCGACACTCAGGAATCGCGCTCCCGCTATATATATATATACATATTGCCTGGCGGTTCAAGCAGAATTTACGCTTCAACGACCCGCCCGCTCGACCCGCCCGTCTGGGCCTGCCCGCCCGACCAGCCCGTTAGGGACTGCAGTCGCCGCTCGCTGCCCTTCGCCCGCCTTCGATGCCCCTTGCTGCCCGTACTGGTTCCGCGGTCGCCTTCGCTCGCTGCCCTTCGTGGCCCCGTTGCTGCCCTCAGTGGCCCCGTCGCTGCCCATTGTGGCCCCGCATTATATACCCTTCGTGGCCCCGCTCGCAGTCGCCCGTCGTGGCCCCATACGCATGCCCTTCGTAGCCCCGCTGTCGCCCTTCGTGGCCCTCTCGCTGCCCTTCGTGGCCCCTTTGCTGCCCTCAGTGGCCCCACTGTCGCCCTCTGTGGCTCCATAGTTATACGGATGCCCTTCGTGGCCCCCGCTCGTTCGCGCCCGTTGTGGCCCCATATGCATGCCCTTCGTGGCCCCGCTGTCGCCCTTCGTGGCCCCCTCTCTGCCCTTCGTGGCCCCGTTTCTGCCCTCAGCGGCCCCGTCGCTGCCCTCTGTGGCCCCGGATTAATTGCCCTTCGTGGCCCCCGCTCGCTCGCGCCCTTCGTGGTCCTATACGCATGCGTTTCGTCGCCCCGCTGTCGCCATTCGTGGCCCCCTCGCTGCCCTTCGTCGCCCACTTTCTGCGCTCAGTGGCCCCGTGCTTCCTTTCCTCCGATCCCTCCCTTCCTCCGATGCCTCCCTCCCCTGCAAATCATCGTCCTCCCTCCTTTTTGCCCCTCCCCTCCCTTCCTCCGATCCCTTCGTCCTCATTCTCCCCCGTTATCTGTTACCCTTCGTTTTCAAGGGCTTCACCAACCACGTGGCCGTTGATTGAAAAGCAGCATGCACCGGTGAGGGGGGACCAACAATAATTAGTTTCCAGAAATTAAAATTCAACAGCACCACCACCAACAACAACAACCACAACAACAATCACATCCACAACCACGTCCACAATCCCAACCACATCAACAACAACGTCGTCGTTGTCGTCGTCGTGGTTGTTGTTGTTGTTGTTGTTGTTGTTGACGAAACCACTCACTGGCGCCCGCCCCAAACCCCCCCAGCGCAACGCAACGCAACGCACGTTACCCCGAATCCTATAGGGTTCGTATGGGAATCTTATAGGGTCTCTGCGAACCGCATAGGAATCCTATAGGAATCCCATAGGAATCCTATTGGGCCTCTACGGATCCTATGGGAATTCCATGGGGATCTTAGAGGAATCCCATAGGGCCTTTACGAATCCTATGGGCATCCCATAGGAATCCGATGGGAATCCTATAGGGTCTTTACGAACCCGACAGGAATCCTACTGGAAGCCTGTAGGACACTTATAAGGCCTTCTAGGATTCCTATGGGAACCCTATAGGAATCCCATGGGCATCTTATAGGGCTTTTCTAGGATTCCTATGGGAATCCCATAGGAATCCTTTGGGAATCCTATAGGGCCTTTACGAACCATTTACAAATATCATAGGAGTCCGGGCCTCCACGAAACCTATAGGATTCTAAAAGGAATCCCAGAGGAATCCCATAGAGCCTCTACGAATCCCATAAGGATCCTACAGGATTCCTACGGGAATCCTAGAGGGCCTTTACGGATCCTATAGGGATCCAAATGGAATCTTATAGGAATCCTATAGGGCCTGATTTCTATGGGAACCCTATAGGAATCCGATGGGAATCCTATAGGGCCTCTACGAATCCTATGGGAATCCTACAGGAATCCGATGGGAATCCTATATGGCTTCTCCGATCCCTATAGGAATCCCATAGGCATCGTATAGGGCCTCTGCGAACCCTACTAGGAATCCTGTAGAAATCCCAGAATAATCCTGTAGGGCAGTTTCGGATCCTATAGGAATCCTATAGCAAACCTATAGGAATCCTAGAGGGCCTCTGCGAATCTCTTAGGATTCCTATAGGAGGCTTATCGGATTCCTATACGGCTTTTACGAACCCTATAGGACTCTTATAGGAATCTGATAGGAATCCCAGAGGGCCTTTACATATCATATAGGACTCCCATAGGAATCCTATAGGGCTCCAATGGGAATCCCATATGATTGTCATACGTATCCTATAGGGCCTCCACGAATCTGATAGGAATCTTGTAGTAATCCTAGAAGGCCTTTACGAATCCTCAGGGAATCCTGTAGGAATTCTATGGGAATCCTATAGGGCGTCTGCGAATCTTCTAGGAATCCTATAGGAGTCCCGTAGGAATTATAAGGGCTTTACGAATCCTATGGGAATCCTGCGGGAAGCTTATCGGGCTTTCACAAATCCGATGAGTTGTTTTTTTTGTTCCTTTCTTTTTCCCCCCCATAGGAATCCCATAGGGCCTCTGGCCTCACAGGGAGCTCCTCGCTTCATTTCGGCACACCCTTCTCGAGGATCGCGGCCCTGGCCGCACAGGGAGCTCCACCGAAACTGCATTTCGGCACACCCCTCTAGAGGATCGTCGCTCTGGTCCCACAGGGAGCTCCACCGAATCTTCATTTCGGCACACCCCTCTCGAGGACCGTGGCCCAGGCCCCACAGAGAGCTCCACCGAAATATCATTTCGGCACACCCCTCTCGAGGATCGTGGCACAAACCCCACAGGGAGGCCCACCGAAACTTCATTTCGGCACACCCCTCTCGAGGATCGTGGCCCTGGCCCCACACAGAACACCACCGAAGCATTGCTTGCGTTTTGTGTTTTTTTCCCAACCATCCTGTGGTGTTGGGTCCTCGTTTTGAAGAGACGGTGCCCCGCGTTCCTTCCTTCCTCCTTCCTCCTCCCCTCCTCCTCCCCCTCCCATCACCGCCCCATTTTGGTGCACCCCTCACACGTTCGTGGCCCCATAGGGAGCTCCACCGAAGGCCCCGGTGGCTGCGTTCGCATGGCGGCCCCGCCCCATTCTGGCGCACCCCTCACACGGTTCGTGGCCCCATAGGGAGCTCCACCGAAGGCCCCAGTGGCTGCGTTCGCATGGCGGCCCCGCCCCATTTGGCGCACCCCTCACACGGTTCGTGGCCCCATAGGGAGCTCCACCGAAGGCCCCAGTGGCTGCGTTCGCATGGCGGCCCCGCCCCATTCTGGCGCACCCCTCACACGGTTCGTGGCCCCATAGGGAGCTCCACCGAAGGCCCCAGTGGCTGCGTTCGCATGGCGGCCCCGCCCCATTCTGGCGCACCCCTCACACGGTTCGTGGCCCCATAGGGAGCTCCACCGAAGGCCCCATTTCGGCGCACCCCTCACGAAGATCGTGGCCCAGGGAGCTCCACCGAAGGCCCCAGTGGCTGCGTTCGCATGGCGGCCCCGCCCCATTCT